ATCACTTAGATAGAAGACAGGTCACTGAGATATGGGGCGGTCGCTCAGAGCAGAGGTTCATGAAGTACGGGGTTGTCCAGGGGTCAATTTTGGGACCACTCATGTTTTTAATTTATATAAATGACTTCTCAGCTGCTTCACCAGTTTGCAAGGTTATACTGTTCGCAGATGATAATGGCTTCTCTCAAAAAAGTAACAGACCCACAAAACTCTGAAAAAATCAAATTTCTAGGAGTAACTTTTGATGCAAAACTCACCTTTGAACCACACATTAAAGAAACCTCAAAAAAATTATGCTCTGCCACCTATGTCCTGCGAAACATATCGAAGATAGTAGATAGCAAGACTCTTAAAATGGCCTACTATGGACTTTTCCATTCTGTCTGTATGTACAGACTCCTGGCTTGGGAACACTTGCCGCATGCCCTATGTACCTTCGGTCTACAGCGGAGGGTAGTCAAAATCGTGGCAGGTATCCAATACCAAGAAGATGTTAGATCTTTTTTCAAAACTCTAAAAATACTGACCGTTCCAGTCCAATACATTCTAGAGTCTCTTTTGTATTTCCACAAAAACTCCACAAACTATAACTATGTGCATAAAACTCATAACTATAATACTCGCCATAGGCACGACATCCAGATTGAATTTTTACGTTTACAAATTTCCAGGAATGCATCATGTCATTACGCACCCATATTCTTCAATAAATTACCAACCAGCATCACAAATCTACCTTTAAATCCATTCAAAAACAAAACAAAACAATTTCTTATCAATAAGTGTCTATATTCAATAGATGAATTTATACAGTGTGAGGTCTCAGAATTGGATTTTTAACCAGTTGTCTTCAGGGTCCGGTAAAATTGTTATATGCATTTGTATGTAAAATGTTCTTGTCGACTTAAATACTTAGTATAAGTATATATTTTCTTACTGTATAATTTTTAATATTTACCAATTGTATTTTGTATTTTAAATATACTTATGACTATGTTAAGAAACTTTGTAAGTTTTTTAGGAACATATTTGAATTTGAACTTGAACATCGTGTCAGACATGATTAGCTAATCTGGTGCAATTTTTGGTTATTCCCGGCTCTTGATTTGAATATAGTTTCAGGAACTAGCAATTCTTACAATGTTGTTACTGTTGCTACAATAAATACAGCATTTTCTCCTAAATTTTTAATTGTTTTATCAATGAGGAGTTACAGAATGGTATCCAGAATTGATTTGATTAGCTGATCTTTTTCAATTTTCAATGTTTGATCATTCCTGGCTCTTGATTTCACTCAATTTTTGATATTTTTCAATGTAGCCATTCTTTAAGAATGTTGCTATCATAAATGCATGTTTATGAGAAGGTATAAAATGGCATCAGAATTGATTTGATTAGCTGATGGTTTTAAATGTTTTATCATACTTGGATTTCACTAATTTTTTAAATTCCACAATTTTAATGCAGCAACTTTTTTGTAATTTTGCTACTGAATCCATAGTTTTCTTTTAGATTTTCAATTGTTTTGTCAATTGATTTAATTTTAAATTATTCCCAGCTCTTGTTTGGAATCAAGTGCCAGGAATAATCACTCTATGAATTGATTCTTTAATAAAGCAACTCTTAAAATGTTGTTACTAAAAATCCGACTTTTTTTTGAATTTCCGAGTTGTTTTATGTCAAAGGAAAGCATTTGAAAAAGACAAAAGCTTATCATATCTTCTGGAAAAAAAATGATAAACACTTCTATTCTTATATCAAGTGCAATCTTAGCAGCCAGGTTCATGATTTAATCTTACGAGATCCAATAAGTAATGACCTTATAAAAGACTCAAAGACCACCGCAAACACTTTTGCAAACCAATTTCATTCTGTCTACACCAAAGAAAACCTTACAAACATGCCAACTCTGCCCATTGAGACAATGAACAATAATCAACTCACTGTCATTAACATAATAACAGAAAAAGTCACCAAAGCTCTAAGTAGCCTAAAAACCTATTCAAGTCCAGGCCCAAATGGGATACCATCTATATTTCTTAAGAAATGTGCTACGTCTCTAGCACCCTTATTAGCCCAACTATACCAAGATTCAATAGACAATGGTACCATACCAGAGATCTGGAAAAAAAGCTATAGTGATACCAATCTACAAAAGTGGTGACAAAGACAATCCGTCCAATTATGGACCCATCAGCCTGACCTGCACACTGTCCAAAGTACTTGAAAAAATTCTTGTAAAAGAAACAACATTCTTTTTCTTAGAAAATGACATCATACTTCCTACACAGCATGGCTTTATGCCAAAAAAGTCTGCTACAACAAATCTTCTCAGCTGCCTGCAGGCCGATCCTCGGGCCAAGGAGTGGAACTCCCCGAGAGAACAACATTTTCGTCCTTATCATTCTCGTTTACTTTTCGATTACGTTGACAAGGACAAAAGAGTCGTTCTATCGGGGAGCTCTACTCCCTGGCCCGAGGATCGGCCACCTGGACGACTGGTCTACAAACCTAGACGAAGGCAAGCCAATCGACGTTATATACCTCGACTTTCGGAAAACCTTCGATACAGTACCACACGAGAGACTCTGCTACAAACTGAGCCATTATGGAATAACAGGCAAGTACCTACAATGGAGCAGCTCCTTTCTTAAGCAAAGAACTTTCTATGTTCGAGCAAATGGAACCAGCTCTGATTGGTACCCAGTCGTCAACGGAGTACCACAAGGAACTGTACTCGCTTTTCTTTTTTTTATAATGTACATTTCTGATCTGTCAAAAACTATTCAAACCAAAGTTAAATCCTTTGCAGATGACAAAAAACTATATGGAAATCCTTTAACACATCTGCATCAACTAAAGGAAGACATGAGCTCATGAGCACTGTAGAAAAATGGACAGTCACATGGCAGCTAAAACTAAATGGAAAAAAGTGTACAGTTTTACACATAGGACGAAATAACCCTAGATACAACTACCAAATAAATAGCGTCGAACTCAGAAAAGTCTTAGAACAGAAATACCTAGGAGTCTATATCACCGATGATCTGAAATGGGAAACCCATATATCCCACACAGTAAAGAAGGCCAATCAAGTAATATACCTTATGAGACAAGCTTTTGAAAATCAAACTGTAAAAATTGATAGAAAAAACTGTACACCACAATATGGCCACATAGTTTGGTCTCCTTACTACATCAAAGACATAAATCTCTTAGAAAGTGTGCAAAGAAAAATAACCAAAATCCCAATTGAACTTAGAAATCTGCCATACGAAATAAGACTACAAAAATACCAGTTGACAACACTCAGAGAAAGATGAGACCTATTTGAAACACATAAGATCCTAAATGGGCCACTACTCTACAGACCTAAAACTGGAAGATATGTTCCAAATGAAAACTTTTTAACCAATCGCGTAGTCTATAAATGGAATTCCCTATAGTCTGGGAGACTACCGCATTTTTCCTACCCCGATCGAGTTATGTGTCGACACTATTATCAATATATAGTATTATGTGCATCTATCAACCTGTATTCCTGCCTGAGAGCAAATGCTGCTGGAAATATCTTTTAACAAATTATTAACAAATTGAAAAAAACGTAACACTACCCCCATCGAGTTATGCCCTAAGTAGGGTATCAGATTGAAGGTCTCGATGTCCCCTATCTGAAAAGTCGATCCTGCCTCGTGAGAACTTGCCGGAAAAGGGTGGCAGGACAGCTTATTGGGGCAAGGGCCCGCGGTCTCTGCTTTGACACCTATCAAGCTTTGCACTAAATGATGTGTCACATTAAAGGTGTCAATAAGTTGATTTAAGGTCTGTTCGCACAGAAATCACAAACCAGTCAGAGCGAATTTCATTGGTTGGAAACAGTCAGGAAACTAGTTTCAAACAATGAAATTCACTCCTTCTGGTTTAGACACATCATTCAGCGCAAAACTTGATAGGTGTCAAAGCTAAGACCGCGGGCCCTTGCCCCAATTAGCTGACCTGCCACCCTTTTCCGGCAAGTTCTCACGAGGCAGGATCGACTTTTTAGATAGGGGACATCGAGACCTTCAATCTGATACCCTACTTAGGGCATAACTCGATGGGGGTAGTGTTGTTATAATTACTATTTAAACTGCAGCGGATACTTCCACTTCTTATTAACTTTTATTTCTCAGAGAACGAAGACAGACTTGAACAATTGTACATACTTTTTGACATACATTTTTACATCTATCAAACTACAATTAAAACACCAGACAGGTATAAGCAGATTTTAGCGTATATTTCAACAAGTGTTACGTTTTTTTCAATTTGTTACTAATTTGTTAAAAGATATTTCCGGCAGCATTTGCTCTCAGGCAGGAATACAGGTTAATAGATGCACATAATACTATATATTGATAATAGTGTCGACACATAACTCGATCGGGGTAGGAAAAATGCGGTCGTCTCCCTAACTACTAGGCTCAGAAATGATAAGTGCACCAAACAAAAACATTTTCAAAAATATACTAGACCAAAATCTTTATACCATTAGTGCATTATTTTTAAAAAAGTACCAAAAACAAAAAACTAAAAGTGAAAAATCAAAAGCGATGGACTTATCGGTCTCAAGCCGCTTTCCATTGCCAAGAATATAATAATAATAATAATGTTTGAAAATGAATTACTGAGTGGCTTGGAAAACTTCATAGGGGAATTTTTCAGAAATTTGTATTTTTTGAGCAAAAAAATTAATCTTGATACATCCGAACTTAATGAAACCTGTAAAGATTTTATGTAATTTTTGTGTATACAGTAAAACTCATAAGATTTATTCAACTATTGAGTAAATTTATTTTATTTCTGCGATTTCTCCTCTTGCAATTCTTGGAAAACATGACAATGATTGTGATCTCAATCAATGAGTATACATTTTTACAAAGACTAGCTTTCCCAGTTTTCCCTTGACAAAACTGCCTGTAGGTGCAATGAATAAAAATCAAAATATTAATTCTTTCCAGCATTATCAACAGCCATGAACCTACTGGCAATGGAAGGAAAATATCCAATGGAACGAGCCGGTGCGACTACAGAAAACTTCGTACCAGCCAACAAACTAAAATCCATACTAATGAAACTTTTAACTAGCAAACAAAACAACATAAACCTAATCAATAAATATACAGAATATTTATTGTATGATGACATATTGTTTGTTACGTGGAAACTGTTACCGTCCTTGACTGCCAAATCCAATCCCAACCAAGTCTACATCATGAACTATTTGATGCTGTTAGAAAAGCTGCAAGTGTTTGCCAATTTGGATACTAAATATTTGTGTGCTGGAGAATACAGTAAGTTTTAATTTGTCCACTTTGTATTTTTATAATTTCTACAAATATTTCCAGGCATCCCAATTACATTTGACGAAGTCCTTACCAAAAAATACCTCAACAGAGTCTGGCAATGCATAATGGTTTGGGAACACAGCGTACAAACCCACAAGCAACTTTTAATAGTTCTTCTGGAAAAAGTTTTGGTTCATTTGGACAAACCACTACTTTTGACTGATTTCTTGATGGACTCTCTTGACATTGGAGGACCTGTAAGCTACTTAGCTTTGCAAGGCCTCTTCACAATGATACAAGTGCACAATTTAGATTACCCAAACATTTTCGCCAAGTTATATTCGATGTTTGAACCAGAAATATTTCACACCAAATACAAAGCGAGATTGTTTCATTTGGCCGATTTGTTTTTGAGCTCGACGCATTTGCCTGAAACAATGGTAGCGGCTTTTGCTAAAAGATTGGCACGCTTAGCTTTACTAGCCCCTTCAGTCGATATAATAATCATTTGTCAGTTTATAGGAAATTTGATTATAAGGCATCCAGGTTTGAAGTGTCTCTTGCACAATGAAACCAGTGAGTTGGTAAAATATGATCCTTATGTAATGGAAGAAAGTGATCCATTAAAATCAAACGCCCTTAATAGTTCTTTATGGGAAATTTATACGTTACAAAGTCACGTGCAGCCTAGTGTGGCAAGCGCTGCTAAATTTATCAATACGCCTTTGCCTTCAGTCGAATGGGATATTGGCAAGGTTTTAGAAAACACAGATAATGATATTTTTGATAAGGAAATCAAAAAAATTAGCAAGGCTATTGTGAGGGAACTGGAACCTACTAAGGATGGGCTTGTAATTTCCACAGGCGAACGAGTTTGTCAATATTGGCAGTTGGTTTGAGTTTAATTTGTTAATAGAGTCCCGAATTCTGGAAAATTTGCAAATGAGTTTATAAATTAACGCAAATGGGTTCGGATCTCTAGATTTTAGAAAAATAAATTTTCTAAAATTCAATTTTTAAATGTGATTTAATAATCTTATAGAATGATAATATGTTTTTTACTGTTTTGATTAATTTCAAATGTTTAGATGATAATTATTTGTAAGTTATAGTTACCCCTTGTGTTTTTAATTTGTTTGTAGAATTATTATATTTTTCTATTAATATATAGGAAGTTGTCATAATTTATATTAGAAGCTGCTTTTTTTAATGTATATGACAAGAATTTTGGAATTTGAATATAATGTAAAATTGTACCCTTTGGCATTCAAAAATTTAATGTTAGGTAACAATTAAAATATATCAGAATGTTTTGGTGTGCAACACAAATTATTATATTTTGCAGCTTTCATTACATCCTCGACTGTTTTTATGGTTTCCTATTTTAACCATAGTGCGGTATGTATGTGATAATTTTGCCTAATAAAGAAGACATCTTATTATTGCTGTGTTATATTTTTTAGTAATAATGGAATATACTTTTCAAGGACTTATCAGTTTTCTTTTACCTACAGATAGAAATCTATTATTGCCAGGTAAATGTTGCATTGTCGCCCAAATTTGTTATGTGAGAAGACATAGAGGAAAACTGCCTAATAGAAGAAACTTTCTGAGTTATTTATTTATGGAACGCCCTGGAAGAGCAATGTCAGCACTAAGTGTCAACGCGTTCAGAAATAGACTAGACAAAGAACTCGAGAATAGTGCAGGAATGATACAGTACAATGCTATTCTGACTGATTGTCAAAACTATTGTGACCAGTCTTGTCAGGTTTCACAAAACAATTAAAGGTAAAATATAGAGAACTCTTCTATCTGCTACAGTTTCAAAATACTCTAAAGTAAAATGGAGAATTGAAGCTTTATGTCACTTATTCAACAACCCTAAGCACCAAAAGGTACAATGGACGTTTTTCTAAAGTCTACCGTTGAAACTTTTGCATAAACCCTAAAATATTAAGTTTTTCTTGAATATTTCAAGTAAGTTTGTCAACAGATTTCCACAACTGAAAATATTAAGACACATAAATTTTGATTAAAAATATCGATTTTATTTAAACTTTTAAAATATATGTATATCTTAGTATAAAAAAACATGCAATAAATTTCCTTATAATCAACATTGAGCTGCATTTATGCTATTTTGATAATCTGTGTTGCAAAAGACCCCAAGCCTTTTCAACTTGACTTTTCGTATATGCAACTTCCCACAAAGGACATATTATTACATTGGCATTTTCTACGTATTCCTTGTTTGAGGGCTGCGACTCCAATCTATTTTTCGCCTGCTCTTCATCTAGATTATTCCGGGTTACTAGTCTTTGAATGGCGTCCCTTTGAGGCACTAGCGTTATCCAAACCTAAAGAAAATAATTATTTTTATTAAAAGTTTAGTTTTTTTTTAATGCTTGCCTCATGACAAAATTGATCCCAGCCAGCTTGACACAATACAGCCGCTTCTACACAAATTATGGGATTTGGCAAAATTTTAATTATCCTGTTAATTTCCTTAGCCATTTCTGGCCATAATATATCAGTTAATTTTTTCAATTCAACCTGCAAAAGCAAGCAATCATTAACAACAGAATTTCAACCCACAATAAACAAACTTACTGGCTTATTAAACACCTTATCGCCCAACATTCTTCTATCAATTTCCCCGTCGAAATTGATAATGTCATTGCCAAATTGGTCAATCACTTTTTGGAAACTTGGGCCATCTCTACTGTACATTCGATGGGCTATTTTATCACAATCTATTACAGCTGCACCTAAGTTATGCAAATGCGTTGCTACACCAGATTTGCCACTTGCTATGCCTCCTAAAATTAACTTGCTAGCATAATTATATTCAAATGATAAATAGATATTTACCTGTTAACCCAATAACATAAGGTTTATTGGGGATATTTTTATTTTTCAGTGGTTTAATTAAAGTACCCAGCAACCTCAACCGTAAATTACTAGAGCTCACTTTATGTTCTTCTTTTGGTTGCGGATTAGGCTCTTCAATGAAATTAATTGCAACAATTTTCAATTCCTCCAAATTTTTAGTTCTTCTTACTATTAAAAACACAAATTAATTAATTGTCTAATAATAATTATTACCTACTCACTTTCATTAATCAATTCGCCCCCTCTAACAGTCTCCTCACTAACCATAATCATTCCCATAGTAGGATCGACTATGGCAGGACCAAACGGATCAGAAATTTTCATGATATCATAAGTCAATTCTGGACAAACATCCGTTACAAAATCATTAACTTTTTCAATTCTTGTGTCAATGTCTTGTATTAATTCCCACAATATTTTGCCTGCAATGTTAGGTATAGTTTAAGTTTTTCAATTGTATAATATCTTACTGTGAATCATGTTTTCTTCAGTCATTCCCACTGTTACTTTATCGGAGGCCCTTAAGATAGCGTCGCTTAATAATAATTTGTGTGCTGTATGCAATCGATCAAAAGTACCTTTAAACAATTTAATAATTAATATTGCATAAATAAGTAGAAAACAATTATTACCTCCTAAACAAACATGTTTATAAATTCCCTCATCCCTATTATCAGGTTCGGGTGCAATTTTTTCACTAGCACAACATTCTACAGTTAAAATTTTGTGTCCTAAAACAATATTGGGTACCTTATTCTTGATAAAATTGTCGATTTCAATTTGATTGTATTTCTTATCGAATATTACAATATCTATAGGTTTGAGGGTTTTTATTTGAGGCACGGCACTTTTGAGGCCCGAAAGCAATACTCTGACATCCAAGTTGTTGCAAAGCTGTGTGGCCTATAAATAAATCAATTATTGAATAACTAGGTTGTAATTATTATTTTTTTTATAATATTAAATTGATAAGAAATGCGTTTATTTAGCAAACAATATGCTATATTTTTGTGTTTAAGCCAAGGGGCAAACCATCTAAGAATTCTTTGTGGGGAATTTACAGACATTTGTGGGGAATTTGAAGGAACTCATCGAAATTTATGAGAATTTGGGGAATTTATAGGGAATTTGTAGAATTTATGGGGAATTTGGGAGAATTTGTGAGGAATTTATGAAGAATTTAAAGGAAATTGTAGGGACATAACGTCACTGAGGTTCACATTCTCATTAGGTATAAGAAATAGTAATAAATGGAAATTCAAAAAAAAATCTAGTGAGCTTCTCAGTTTCCTCTTTATATGCAAAAAGTTTCAAAATTCTCCCTTCACTAGTTTTCTAGGAAAACTTTGAAATGTGTGAGACTGTATTTAGTGTATTTTCAACTAATTCAGTTTGTGTAGGTTGATTCCCAAGAATTTTCATGTTGCTGTTTTCCATTAGAAATTTTAGAAATTTTGGGAAAATGAGCTTCTCACCTTCATCTTTACATGCAAAAAGTTTCAACATTTTTCCTTCAGTAGTTTTCCAGGAAACTTTTGAAATATGTGAGACTGTATTTTTAATTAATTCAGTTTTTGTAGGTTGATTTCCAAGATTTTTCATGTTGTTATTTTCCACTGGAAAAATTTGAAATTTTTGGGAAAATGAGCTTCTCACCTTCATCTTTACATGCAAAAAGTTTCAAAATTTTCCCTTCAGTAGTTTTCCAGGAAGTCTTTGCAATATGTGAGACTGTATTTTTAATTAATTTAGTTATTGTAGATCGATTTCCAAGATTTTTAATGTTGTTAATTTCCACTGAAAAAATTTGAAATTTTGGGAAAATGAGCTTCTCACCTTCATCTTTACATGCAAAAAGTTTCAAAATTTTCCCTTCAGTAGTTTTCCAGGAAGTCTTTGCAATATGTGAGACTGTATTTTTAATTAATTTAGTTATTGTAGGTTGATTTCCAAGATTTTTAATGTTGTTAATTTCCACTGAAAAAATTTGAAATTTTGGGAAAATGAGCTTCTCACCTTCATCTTTACATGCAAAAAGTTTCAAAATTTTCCCTTCAGTAGTTTTCCAGGAAGTCTTTGCAATATGTGAGACTGTATTTTTAATTAATTTAGTTATTGTAGGTTGATTTCCAAGATTTTTCATGTTGTTAATTTCCACTGAAAAAATTTGAAATTTTGGGAAAATGAGCTTCTCACCTTCCTCTTTACATGCAAAAAGTTTCAAAATTTTTCCTTCACTAGTTTTCTAGGAACACTTTGAAATTTGTGAGACTGTATTTTCAATTGATTCAGTTATTGTAGGTTTATTTCCAAGATTCCTCATGTTGTAATTTCCTACTCGAAAAATTTGAAATTTTGGGAAAATGAGCTTCCCACCTTCCCGTTTACATGCAAAAAGTTTTAAAATTTTTCCTCCACTAGTTTTCTAGGAAAACTTTGAAATATATGAGACTGTATTTTTAATTAATTCAGTTATTGTAAGTTGATTTCCAAGATTTTTCATGCTGTTATTTTCCAGTGGAAAAATTTGAAATTTTGGGAAAATGAGCTTCTTACCTTCCTCTTTACATGCAAAAAGTTTCAAAATTTTTCCTTCACTAGTTTTCCAGGAAAACTTTGAAATGTGTGAGACTGTATTTTCAACTAATTCAGTTTTTGTAAGTTGATTTCCAAGATTTTTCATGTTACTGTTTTCCATTGGAAAATTTTGGGAAAATGAGCTTTTCACCTTCCTCTTTGCATGCAAAAAGTTTCAAAATTTTCCCTTCACTAGTTTTCCAGGAAAACTTTGAAATGTGTGAGACTGTATTTTCAACTGTTTGTGTAGGTTGATTTCCAAGATTTTTCATGTTACTGTTTTCCACTTTAAAAATTTGAAATTTTGGGAAAATGATCTCACCTTCCTCTTTACATGCAAAAAGTTTCAAATTTTTTACTTTTTTTAGAGGAATTTGTGATGAGCTATTTGGAGGAATTTGAAGGCATTTTGAGGAATTATGCGTGAAAAATTCCCCTTTGAGGAATTGTTTGCACCAATTCTTGGTTGGTGGTTTACCCCTTGGTTTAAACAATCATTGGAGATCCCCCAAACTCCATATTTCACCAATAAATAGTTTGTCACAGACTTTTCTCTTCATGAACAAAGAAACGTATGACATTTTCCCGTGCATTTTCCTCAAATTGTATGACCTCAAAAGGAAATACTGTGAATCTCTTAGTACCTAGGAATAGTGATAATCAATATTTTGTAGTCATTCCAGACAAAAAAAAAACTTGCAACCTGATGGTAATAAATATAAGGCCTATGTTAAATAAAGTGGACGATCTTTTGCTATTTCAGAATTGTCATAAGTTTCCTGAGATAGTTGTTATTGTGAAGCACTAGCTAAAACCAGATGAGACAATTTATGTACCAAACTATGTTTCAAAGAGCATTTTAATGTCACCCAGTATACCTAGTCACAAAAAGGACATAGGGAAAAAATGTCTGGATTGATATAAGCTACAATAAAGCCAAAAATTTCAAAAATCGACTGGTGTGTAGAATTAGGAGTCTCCAAAGTGCCAGAAATTGCCTGGAAATAACTTTTCCGAGGGGGTTTTCACCTTTTTAATCGGTGTACAAATCACTGGTTAATATAATATGTCAATATCAGGTAAATACTATATCAATAGTGTTAATACTATGCAATACCTACTTGTTAATTATGTAGGTAATATATGTCAGAATCAGTGATTAACCATTTTCGGAACATTCAGAGCCAAAATGCGGCAACAGCAGCATATCAAAAAGGAAAATAAAGATCCTCCATATCAATGTACGTTCTCTGAGAAGGAAAGTTGATGAGGTAGAAGCTTTTATTGCAGACATTGACATAATTTGTCTGACGGAGCACTGGATGAACAAAGAAGAAATACAGGTTGTTCAAATACAGGGCTATTCACTTAGAGCCTACTCCTCAAGATGTGAGTCAGTTGGAGGTGGGACTGCCCTATTCACCAAAGATTTTTTAGTCGCAAATGACGTAAATATAAGTTTTAATATTGAAAAATGTATAGAATTATGTTGTGTATATGTGGAAAGCTGTTTATAGGTCTCCCTCAGGATGTCTTGACACCTTCACAAGAGAGCTTGAGGGCTTACTTACGAGGCTGGAGTCATGTAAACAAATAGTGATATCAGGGGACTTCAGTGTTCATTTCAATACTTCTGAGGCTGCTTGTGTTCGACTTTGCGACTTTTTTGGTGGCTTTAGTCTGGCGCAAACAATCTAGAAGCCTACTCGGGGAGCGTCCTGTCTGGATAATTTGTTTGTCAGTTTGGGAATCGAGGTATGTGATTCTGGGGTATTTGACTTGGGAGTCTCAGATTACAGGGGTCAGATCCTGGAGCTCTTGATGAAAGGGCCCCCAAAAGTTGTGGAGAAAAAAAAAAGTATGCAGGCCCATAACACAGCGAGGTCTGTTTGCATTCCATGGTATCTTGGATGCTGAGTCTTGGAATTTTGTCACTGTGGAGGGTATGAATACGAATTAAAAATGTAATAAATTCATGAACATTTTGGAGCAAGCCTGCCTGCACTCATTTCCTGAAAGGTCCTATAATAGGGTCAGATCAGACCAAGGAAATAACATTTCCTGGTTCAGTGAGGAGCTGAAGGCAATGCGTGAGCGACTAATGTTTTTGAGCAGTATCAAACTGATAAAATCCTATCTTAATAACAGGTGCTCTCGCAGGTGCCAAAACGTGAGGTGTAATGGTGTAACATCAGCAGAGAGGGTGGTGAACATTGGTGTTCCACAGGGTTCCATTTTGAGCCCCATTCTCTTTCTTATTTACATCAATGACTTACCAGCAAATGGCGCCAGTGAGCATTTCACCCTCTATGCTGATGACACAACAATTTCTTTTGCTGGAGACACCCTGGACTCTGTGTACGCTGGATACATGGACGCGCAGGCGAGGGCTGAAACGTGGTTTGCGTCGAACAGGCTGTTGCTGAACAGAGAAAAAACCAAAAGATGTTGGTGACTGTGAGGATGGTCTGACGGAGGCAGTGTTTTTGGGTGTCACACTAGACTCAAAGCTACAGTGGGGATCTCATATCAACCAGGTCGCCAAAAAACTAACAAAGGGCGTTTATGTTGTTAGGAACCTGTCAGCTTGTGACTCTTTGCCTGTTCTGAAAGTGGCATATTTTGCAATCTTTGATTCCCATATATCCTACACGATTCTGGCCTGGGGGCACTCTGCGGGGGTTCATAGATTGTTTGCGCTGCAGCGGAGAGTGGTGAGGGTGATGGCACGCCTTGGTTATAGGGATGAGTGTAAGGGGGCATTTGTTTCTTTGGAAATACTTACGGTTCCCCTTCCTGTATATTTTTGAGAATCTGCTTCTTGCAAAGAGAAGTAGGAACTATCAGCAGCATGAAAATACTCACCAATATGACACCAGGAATAAAAATAAACTTGAGCCTTTATGCTGGCGCCTCAGAAGATGTCAAGACGGCCCGGGTTATTGGGCAATCAATTTACGTTAATTTTTTACCCCAAAATATCAGAGAACTTCCCTACAATGTCTTCCATAGGAAGGTTAAGGAGATTCTTTTAAAGAACAGTTTTTATTCATTCTCTGAATTTCTAGATTTTGAATTTTAAATGAAATGTATATTGTCAATATGTGTTTTTAGCTTTTTTTTTTATAATTATTATGTAAGACAAATGTCTAGATTTAAGTTTAATGCCTCCTTGTAGTTTGTATCTATTTTGATTTTTGACATATGTAAACATTATTTGTACTGGCATGATAATGAATAAATGATTGATTGATTGATTGATTTATGTCAATACTTGTAGATATCTGGGCAATATATTAATGTCATTGGTCGATACCCATTAATAACATGTAAACACCTATAGATATGTCAATACCTAGAGTTCTATGCTAGAGTTCTAGCAAGACAAATAAGTCTCGTTTTTATTCTCATCAGTGACTTCACCGATGAGTAAGCTATCTTTGTTTAGTGAATGGAAAATGACAATGACGTCCATAGAATGATGGATCCATCGTTAAAATTTGATGAGAATAAAAACGCAGGGATATTTGATTTTAGTCTGTCAAAAGCATGGCAATACTTGGTAATATGTGATAATATTAGGGAAATACCTGGCAATATGTGGATATATTTTATTAATACATGGAAATAGTTGGCAATAACTTGTTATTAGGTACATAGAAATATCTGCTAATACATGGAAATATCTCAGTTAGTACTTTTAATCGGTGTACAAATTTTGTTAAATGAAAAACCCCTGGAACTTTTCTTACCTGAGAATAAATACTATAAATTGTCCTACTAAATTTCGGAGGCGCACTGAATACATTAGCATGAAAACTACCCAGAGGATCACTCAGAGCGCTCAATAGTTGGATATACAGGGTGTTTTGGACAGTTTTACTGATATCCGATAGAAGTTTAGTTATATGCTTCGGATTTGAGACTATCAGAAGACCTGTTTTAGCCATTTTTTTGTGAAAAAGTTTGCAGAAAAGCGATAGATCAAAATGTTATCTGATTGGACTTTGAGCCTATTCTATGGTCTGATTATTTGTTAATGTAAATGCAAAGTTTAATAAAAATAATTTTTGTTTGTTTACATTCGATGAAAAGTTAGGTTAGGTTGTATTTTGTGTTGTCAGACTTGTCAGTTTTTGTAATGTTCTCTTCTTTTTTTAAAAAATTAGAGATATCGATAATTTTCTCAAGTCCACAAGCACAAGTCGTTTTGTAAATATATCGTATCGATAGCTATCCTCTAGCAGGGACTGCTACTATCGATAAGATACGGTATCGATATTTTGGCGTTTTGGTTTGAAATTTCAATTTTCCCATAAAAAATAGTCCTTGTCGATACCAAGGATGTCGATAGTCGATACTATACTAAACTGAAACTTGGTTTAAATGAAAATTAAAAAATACCAATAGATAAGGAGTCAACCACAATAATAATTATTATAAAAGTACTCAATTGAAACAATCCAATATTATATTTATAAGTTAAATGCTAATGCTATGTATATCAACTTTTTGTTTGTAAGAAAGTGGAAAGTGGAATCAAAATATTACTAGATTCTGCTTCTCCTAAAACTAAAATTTTAGGGAGTCGGCGCCGTTTCCAAGACGACGGCGTCTTTTACGAGCGTCCCGACGTCCCCGTCAGTGACGCCAGCTTCAGTTGGCGCGCAAACTTCCGAACGAGAAGTTGCTCCGGGACGTTTACAACTGACAATTCACTTTCTAAGGACAATAATTAACACGCATTATTGAATATAGCTAATTTATTTGTGTAGTGACTTTAATAAAAACAATTTTTTTGTTATAAATTTGAATTTGGCGCGGTTAGGTATTGTCGGTTGCCTACGCAAACGGACTAGAAAACTTTGACATTTGGTTTGTGTATCGATTATTTGACATTGACAATTTGATGACGCTCCTTTTCTCGTTCCTCTAGATATCTTTTGTAGTGGAAGCAAGAAAATTGTGTTATTTTGAGTAATTTTGTCCGTAATTTATACATTAGTCAGTTTTTGCTTGTAATAAATAGTGCAGCAGACCTAAAGAATCCATCGAATCGTCCAGAGAAGCCCCTAAAAGGTAAGTTTTTCTAGTTTGAGGTTATGTCACGTTTACATGAATGCCAATTATTTATGGAGAAAATTGTTTTAATTATTATTAAAATAAAATCCCTATTGCGCGTGTTATATTTGAACAATGAGGCGATATGAAATCAATTGAATCAATAATTCAATATCTATGGTGTTGGGCCCTTGGAGTTTGGGGCCCTGGTAGTTTCCTCCAAAAACCAATAATGCCGAGCTGAAGCCTCATGCTGAACCAATATAAAAACTAACAGAAATGTTGGTAACTTGTTTTAAGTTGTACCTATATGTTTTTCATCATTGTGAGCCAAAAACTATATGTGATTTAGAGATATTTTCTGTGACTTCACCTAACTGTTTCAAAAATGAAATTTTGTTAATGTAGTGCAAAATTATGTACCAAGAGTACTTACGCAAAAATACCTTGTGTGTGGCTAAACTGACTGCTTGTTAAGCTTTAGTTAGTTAACAAATACCTTAGAATGTGTCCATATCAACATGACATTATTGTTGCGTAGCTTATTCTAAGTTTATTGTTCACCAACAAACGCTTACCAAAAGTAAGATTAATTTAGCAGCCCTAAGGGCTAAATTATGGACCAACTGGTAAGTGTCTGGTTGTTACCTAGCAGATACTTTTTATTCTCTAGTGCATAAAAAGTACCTGCTAGGTAACAACCAGACGTTTACCAGTCAGTCCATAATTTGGCCCTAAGGGCGGGTATTATGAAACTATAGGGCATGTACACGATCTGACAGTTTGACACTATTGATAGTCGCCTTGAGGTAAAACAAAGATATATTTACAGTGGTTTTTTAGGTTTTTAGTTAGATTTTTTAAATTAAATACCTTTTGTGTGGTCCAGAAGTTTCTTGGACATGCCTAGAGTTTGTTTAGTTGTTAATTCTGGCAGTATAGCGCAAGGCATACTATATCCTTCCATAGGTTTCCATCAATTTTAAATAACACTGGGAGGTTTGATTTGTTAGCTCAAGAAAGAAGTGAAATATTGATTAATGTTGTTAAAAGAGAAGATCTGACAGAAAAATAGATTTAATTATAGAGTAACTATACTTTATATATATTTGTTCTTGTGACACTTGGTTTTGATTTTTGTTGGAAAAACCCTGAATTTAATCCATTATAGAAAAACCTAGCAAACTTCTGGATAAAAGACCACATAGACTGGAACATAAACACTTAACTTTAACTTTTTTAAAACAAAATAACACAAAAACTTGCAAAAAAGCTGTGAAAACCGCATAAAACATAACCAGCCTAATCTACACCAATGTAAATAAATGATTTGTTTTGCCTCAGGGCGATTGTCAAACTCATTTGTGATGTCACATGGACATGCCCTATTTTGACAAATAACTAAAGGTTAACCTCTGGAAAGACTCCTAGAGATGCGAGGTTATGCCCAAGGGGTAAACCGCTGATCCAGTTTTTGTACACCACAATTTAGCAATTACTTTAAATTTCCACCTAATTCCTGCAATTCCCCACAATGCTTAACAATTCCCTAGCAATACTTAGTAATTCCTGATTCCTGAAATTCCAAGAAATTCCTTCAATTCTTTAGTAATCCCTAGTAATCCCAGTGATTCCAGCATATTCTTGTTTTATAATATTTTGATTTTCAATGAGAAGCCAGTGCTTTTTGAAGCTGATGCTATATATTCCTAGCGGTACATGAAAAAAAAACGGCAAATTGTGTTAAAAGCATGAGTTTTGGTACACTTGGTCTTTAAACCATAACAATTGATTTGGCCCGTAGCACTACCCCACAACTGTCATTTGTTTATATTTGTTTAAACAATTCACTCGATCTGTTAAAAAAGCACAAAATAGGCTCACCAGATGCCAATGCCGAATAAAATTCACATTAGAATTTGATAAAAAGGACGGAAAGTCATGCTGACCCATCCTAAACCAAGCCGTCATTTTGATGTTTTGTTTATACATATTGTTTACTATTGTTTATGCAAAATAATTGATTTTTCGTATATTGCATGTGGGGAATCGATTTCGACTAATTAGGGGTCAAGAATCTCGATTAATAGCATTAGAACTCATTTGCAAGGCTTTTTCAATTGTTTTTTCTGTATGATAGAAGAAAATATTGAACAAAATTTGGCGCTTAAGTGACTGTGGATGATTAGAATAACTGAAGATGAATATTAATAAAATAAATATTATTTATTTTATAGAATCATCTAATCAAACGGTTAATTTTAGAGGAAAACCGATCTTACACTCTTGTCTTAGTTTTTTATAAACTATCATTTGACAGCAACTTCGAATTTAATCCACGATCAAAAATTTCGGTGGAAAATTTAATCTCTGGTTAAATTCAAAAATGATGTCAAATGATAGTTTATGAAAATCTAAGACAAGAATGTAAGATCGGTTTTCCTCTAAATTAACCGTTTAGGTCTTACAGCCTGTCAAAGTAGCAAAAAAGTCAATTTTCAACTATCAATAGTTATTTCCAAAACACTTGAACTTAAGGACTAAAATTTAGTACCAGAATGTATGGAATTAAAAACCCTGCAAAATGATGTATCACTTGACCCCCCTTCCCATTTGAAATTTTCTAGGGGGTGGCTCTGGGGGCTGGGGGGTTGAAAGAGGGAAGGTGAATTTTGCATAAAAACTCATCCCCCTTCAAATTATAGGTGATGTATTTCAGAGATTTTTTCGAAAATTTTTCTACTCTGAGATGATAGGGGTGGGAAGTTTTCAAATTGACACCTTGTATATATGCATATTGTTCCATCATAATCTTCTGGCTTTTAATTATTGTTGTTATTAAATGAAATAAATGATAATAAACTTTGTTGAGAGAAGTTTGATTATTATTATTTATCAAGTAGGTACCTAAGTATTGTAAATTGAAGTATCTACTTGGAAAAATAAAAAAATTAAAAGTATCCCATAATCGAGCCTATAATATTAGGTGAGCTGAGATTTGATAATCTACCAGCAGCTGAGCTAAACAGATTTGCAATATTCGCCGCAAGTCAGCAATTTTAGGTATTGATGCAGAAATAGTGCCGATAATAGTATATTACATACCAAGGTGGAAAGTGTTTCATTACTGTCGAGAGATCAGTTAGTTAACTGAGACGCGAAGCGTCGAAGTTAACTATAATCTCGAGATAGGAATGAAACTTCCTACCGAGGTTTGTATACTATTTTATTTACAACAATTACAACCCTCATAATTTCGACTAAATACTAAAAAAAATTTTAAAAATTTGTTGACAAGTTCTGACTCATCTAAAAAAACGTTTGACATGCAGGACTCGTCTTAAACATTTTAGGAAATGAGAACTTACTTGTGAGCACTTTCCACCCCCACCCGGGTGGAAAGTAAAATTCAAAAAAGTGTCACTTTCAAACTTTTGAAAAGTCAGAAATGTCAACATTACGTATGTGGTTGTAAATAATAGTGCTTTACTTAGTTTTACTTTATTGTGCTGATGTTGGTATTAATCATTAATTGAGATACACATTATAATAATTGAAGTTTGTTTTGCTGTTGCCTGTTTTAATCTCGATTTTAATAAAAATCTGTGGTTCTTGTGATTAAAAGGTGAAGAAATAATTGCACTGTACTTGTTATTTTGCTGTGCCAAAGGGAAGTTCCAATATAAATGAACTCCATAAGTAATCTTTGACCTCAAAAATTTGATTTTGTAAGAGTTTTCCTGTAATTTCTTGCATATCTCTTTAATTCCTCCATCTAGTACAGGGTGTCCTTGGTCAGCTGGTTTGAAATGCTAGGGTATACAGGGTGTCCCACGGTGGATGGCGTATTAGACGTTTATAGAGAACTAAAAAGCGGATCATTTTGAAAATTTGGCAACCGGGATAAACGGCCATAATCTACACTTTAAAAATATTTTTGTTTATGCGGTGTTGCCGCTTCTACTCTAAACCAGTGGCAACATCGCTATTTTAAATGAAATACCCCGTATGTGATTGCATATTTGGATTCTACATAAAATTCTGAGCAGATTTTATGTGATATACCCTATACCTAAGTTCAACTGTTTTGGAAATATTGACAGTTGAAAATTGACTTTTTGCAACTTTGACAGGCTGTAAAACCTAAACGGTTAATTTCAGAGAAAAACCGATCTTACATTTCTATCTTAGATTTTCGTAAACTATCATTTGACACCAACTTTGAATTTAACCGGAGATTAAATTTAATTGGAATTTTTAATCATGGATTAAATTCAAAATTGGTGTCAAATGATAGTTTATAAAAATCTAAGATGGGAATGTAAAATCGGTTTTTCTCTAAAATTAACCGTTCAGGTTTTACAGCTTGCCAAAGTTGCAAAAAGTCAATTTTCAACTGTCAATATTTCCAAAACAGTTGAACTTAGGTATATGGTATATCACATGAAATCTGCTCAGAATTTTATGTAGAATCTAAATATGCAATCACATACTGGGTATTTCATTTAAAATAGCGATGTTGCCACTGGTTTAGAGTAGAAGCGGCAACACCGCATAAACAAAAATATTTTTAAAGTGTAGATCACAGTCATTTATCCCGGTTGCCAAATTTTCAAAATGATCCGCTTTTTAGTTCTCCATAAACGTCTAATACGCCATCCACCGTGGGACACCCTGTATAATAGATAAAGGAATCATAGAGAAGTAGTTTGAGATAGGACACCGATGGTCAGAAGTGCGTTTCCATAATACAGAGTGTTGAAATTTTCCCTCTGTATTAAAAACGCTTTGAGCGATTTCAATGAAATTTTCAGGCTTTAAATGATAGGTGGTGATACAACTTTTTAAGGAATTGCAGTTGATTTGATTTTTCCAGGGATGGACTTGCAGCAAGTGTGTTAAATTTTTTGAAGAAAAAATGGTACACCACATGTGCTGCAAGTCAATCCCTGGATAAAACAAATCAACTGCAATTTCTTAAAAAGTTGCATCATTTAAGTCCTGAAAATTTCATTAAA